ACTGACCTTGGGGGGTCCCAGCCAAGGCAGGAATCTCCACACACCCCCCAAGAAGGGTTCTGTTGGCACAACCTGCCCCTGGCAAAGGGGACTGGCCCTTTCTGGTAGAAAGGGATGGACTGACAGTCCCTGGACTCCAGGGGTTGCCTCACCATCAGGGGGGTCATTTGGGGTGGGAGCAGCGGCCGAAGCTCTTCCCGTAGTCGGGGCACTCATAGGGTGGGTCCGCTGGTGTCTGGTCAAGGCAGAGCTGTGGGTGAAGCTCTTCCCACACTCCCCACACTTTTAGGGCACCTCCCCGGTGTGGATGCGCCGGTGGGTGACGAGGGTGGAGTTCTGGTTGAAGCTCTTCCCACCGTCGGTGCAGCGGAAGGGCCTTTCCTCTGTGTGTGTCCGCTGATGCTTGAGGAGACGTGAGCTGGTCTGAAACCTCTTCCCACATTCCAAGCACTTGTAGGGCTGCTCCCCAGTGTGGATGCGCCGGTGGGTGCAGAGGTTGGAGCTGTCACTGAAGCTCTTCCCACACTCCTCACACTTGTAGGGCCGTTCCCCGGTGTGGATGAGCTGGTGTCGCATCAGGTGGGAGCTCTGCATGAAGCTCTTCCCACATTCCTCACACTTGTAGGGCCGTTCCCCAGTGTGGATGTGCTGGTGTTGGATGAGGTGGGAGATCTGCCTGAAGCTCTTCCTACATTCCCCACACATGTATGGCCGTTCCCCAGTGTGGATGCGCTGGTGTAGGAGCAGGTTGGAGCTGTTCCTGAAGCTCTTCCCACATTCCCCACAAGGGTAGGGCCGTGCCCCAGTGTGGATGTGCTGGTGAGTGAGGAGTTTGGAGCTCTCCCTGAAGCTCTTCCCACATTCCAAGCACCTGAAGGGTTTCTCCCTGCTGGGAGGCTGTTCAGGGACCACCAGCTCGGAGTTCTGGTCGCCTTCCTGGCACAGGGTCGGTTGTTCCTCCTCGGAGCTCCCTGGGATGGCTTTGCAGCTCCTCCTCCGGGGGTACCTTTGTGGCTTTTCCTCCTCCTCCTCCTCCTGCGCCGGGGGGACCTTCAAAACGGCCTCTCCCACCAGGCTCTGCCGGGGGGATTTGTCCTCCGTGCTCTCCGTCCTCAGCTCGGGGCCTGGGGCAGGAAGGAAGAAGGACAGGCAGGGGATTTGCCTCCGGCCCAGAGGGAAGGCCAAGCACATCCCCCCCCAAATTTGGCCCCCACGGGCACCACAAGACAGGGCCAAAGGGGCACTGACTTCCTCCTCACCTGCCTGGGGGGCCCGTGGCAGCTTCCTCGCAGCCTCCTCCTTCATCCACCCAAGCTTTGGGAAGAATAAATCCTGCTGGGGGGGAAACAAGGGTTGAGCACGTTGCCTTGGGGGTTCCTCCTGCCCCAGTCCACCTCTAGAACTCACCGGGCATCCTGGGACCTAAAAACCTCCAAAACACCAAGATTTAGCCCGGAAAAACATGAAACACTGAGATCTGAGTTAAAAAAAAACAACAACTCAAAAACTCCCCCCAAATCTGCAAAAGATCACGACTCAGCCAGGAAATACTTCAAAATATGAAGATTCAGCTCAGAAAA